TTCTAGTTATCCAACCCACCTAGCAGACTGTGTTCAGAGACAGAGTGTTTTTAGAAATCCCTATTACTGAAGTTAATAATATAGCTATAAACATGAATGTCTGGAGGTATCCAGATGTGCCTTAACAAATGTAAATGATTTTCATTCTGAAGTTTGCATTTTTACTCCATTATAAAATCTCATCATTGGGAACTTTCCAAACCATGAATATCAGTTCTTTTGATGGAATTTGGAGACATTGCTATTTGGGACAATAGCATCAGTTCATAAAGAAGTGTACTCACCATGTTACATTTATTTATGCTTTTTGTAGTTTAGCTACATACCATAATTTTCATCTTAAACATTCCTTAGTTACTGCAAGTAATATTTGTTTTGCTGCTTCTTAGATGTAGATGGATGCAGAAATGGAATTATATTAAAGAAATTATTAAAAGTTTAATTCCAGTAGACGGAGAAATCAAGCTAATCTGAAAAACTTTTATGTTGTCATCTCATTACAATCATTTTAAAAGCATTATTCTTGCATTTTTCCTAGGTTAGAGTGTTGTCATTTTTTCCTATTCTGTTGTGAAGTTTGTATCAATTATTTGAGGGAAATAACTTTAATATGTTTATTTTCCTGAATTAAAGTTTTCACGTAGAGAATACAATGAGATGTTTTGTGTTATGACTCAGACTCTGGCTGGAAGTAGAGTTCAGAGAGGGAGAAGGGACAGGAATCACTGTGGGTGTCTCAGGAAAGTGGCACCAGGGCTGGGCTCCACCCTTCTCCCTTGGCATGATGGGTCCCCAGATCCTCTGGATAATGAGGGTGAAAAGGTCTAACTTCTGGGGAGGAAGAACCATCTTGGACTCCATACACAATTTTGATGGGTATCAGTTCTCATAATATCTGCTATAATTTTGTAATTTAGAAACTTGTAAGCAATTGAGCACTAGTAAATTATAGTTATATCTTAATGATCTTGGGAAACATTGAAATGAGTTTTCTCTTCACCCCTATTTCTTTAAAAAAGGGAAGTTGTTCATTTATAGCTGTGTATTAATATAAAAATTTTTATAAAATGATTAAGAGAAAAAGCAGTAATGATCACTTACTGTGCTAAAATACCTTTTTTTCTAAAAATAACCTCTAGGGCTTTTCATAGTTTTCCTTTTTAAGTTATAGTTTGTGGAACAATTTACATTAACTAGAGAAGTTAGATATATAATAAGCTTTGGTACTAAGACATTTACGTTCTGCACTCATTAGTCAAATGGACATTTTTTTCCAGTGCTAACAGATTTTGTTTCATGTGAAAAAAAATACAAATGAAATAAAAGTCTAGAAAAAGCAACAGGAAACTCACCACAGAAATAAAGACATAACCCTTGATAAGTGCCAGAATTATTGGAAGTAGGTAACGAATTATTTAAAAAAGCTTTATTGTGGGGCCTGCTTTAAGAATCAGCTCTGTCTTTGTGCCAAGGAGATCAGGTATTGGTGTGCAAACAGATCCCATTAATACTGTCATGTGAGCCATGAATTCCACTTAATCTGCATTGAAGCCTTCCAGTAGACTGATAGATGTTATCAACTACCAAGTTTAATTTCTTTGCCTGTGTGTACCAACAGTTAATAGTTTTACTAATAAGTTAAATTGATGGACTGGCTGCAGATAAGAGAAAGACTCAGTGACAGGTGGTTTGTGAGTGAAGTAACTCTTCCACCGTGTCAAGAGTTGACAGCATATTAATTGTGTGGCATTATAATTGTGAGAAACCAATGAGAGCAAAAGATTAGGTCCTTTGATGAGCATTTTCCTCCTGTTTTTAAAAAGGGCTTCAAATTGTTTCCTAAGTAAGGTAATCTTTCTTTAGTATTATCTAATAAGAGGGACAGCAGACTCATTTGGAAACTATTGTGTCCCTTGTATTTTAAATGTTTCAGGAAAATGGCTAAATTGTTACAAACGTGTGATTTACTTATAACATAAGCTCTGATTCTCCAGTGGCCACTGGGCCTTCTCTGTGCTCCGTATTCAATTGCAGTATGAATTACAGAATGCTGTGCATGTTTGTTAGTACCAATACCATGTGTATGTGGTAGAAGTTGTAACCAGTTTCTGGATCTGTATGGTACTATAAAATACTTATTCTATAATTCTGTAACTGTATGGCAATGTTATGCCAAAAATGTATAAAGAATAGTTTGTTGCTTACTGCTGTATTTTAAAATATTGTTTCTAAAAGAGTTCCTTTTGAGTAATTATTTTTATTAACTATTGCCAAATATATATTCTGTAAAACTAATAAAAGCCACTACGTCTTAGGTAACATTTTAGCATTGTGCTAGAGTACATTATGGTGATTTTGCATGATTAAAATATTTTTAAAGAACCATAAAAACGTGACTTTGTTTTCCTGTCATTAAACATGTATTTTTTTATGATTAATGTAAGACTAACATTTTTTTATCTTCAAAAATAAATATTGTGAAGGGTGATTATATGAAGTTGTTTTTATTGTGCAATTTTACAGAACAGATCACATATGTAAATACTTTGATGTTTATTGTTCTCTCTTGTGTAATCCAATTTTAAAAGTATTTTTCTTACAGATAAATGAGTATGAATAGCTAATGAAGACGAAAGATGTTTTTCACTTAAGTGGGCTAATATTTAAGTAGTCAAGTTTTTGATTAAGAAAAAATGCAGTTGCAAGATGTGAGGAGGTTGCTTTAAGAATCACGGGACAATGTAGACAAAAATGAAAAGCGTAAACATTTGAGCTTGGCTGCATTCTATAAGCAGAAAAAGAGGTTGAAAAAAGAACTAAGAATAAGTTGTAATAAAAGTGAAGTCAGATTGTGCATAACTGAGAAACTGATAGCGAATAACAGCCTCAGTGGTGATTAAGCATGATTTTAACTTCAGTCTTTTGTATGAATGGTTTAGTTGAAAAGTGCATATGTACAGTCATTTTCATAAGGGAAGAATAGATACAGTCTGGTAACAATAGGATTTTTCTTTTCCCAACAGATTGAATGTCTCAAGATACCATAAATTCCAAGGAAAATGGAGATTCTTAGGATAGTAATAAATGCAGGACTGAGCCTGCACTTCTGCAAGAATGTAAATTTCAATATGGGAGAGATTTTGGGAAAAGATTCATAACATTTCCTTATTTTAATCCTAAAGTGGATGCAAAACAGATAAGGTGGTATTTCAGGCATGTGGGAAATCCCAGCCTGGATCAAAATGATGACAGGCAGTTTAGGCTTTGGTAATGGTGATTGGATGAGCTTTCAGACTAACGTGGGGAACAAGGAAGGATTATCCTGCCCTTGGGATTATCCCCATGATTATGTAGGATTAATTGAAAGATTTTAAAATAGGATACTAGAGAGACAGATTAGAGAGCATGGATTCAACTTGACTATTCAGGAAAACTGGATTTATTAATTTTGCTACAGTAGTTAACATTCTATTTTTATCACTTTATTGCATATTCAACACTAATATACAAATTCTTCTCAAATGGTATATATTTGTTATTGAAATAGCTAGTTTTATCTACTCTCAGCTTTGAAAAGAAAGAGGTTAGAAGAATGAATAAACAAAGGATAATGGTTGACAAGGTGAACCAAATGAGGTCCGACAACTCACCTTAGAACACTGAGGTTGTCTGACATCTTTAAACAGATGATTTAACTGTTGTGAGGAAGAGAAGTTCAAGAAAAAGCCCTGAAGGGAAAAAAAAAAAAAATAAGGGCAGAGAGACATTTTGTTTAATGGGGAAAGAGCAGGCTTTGAAGCCAGACGGACTTTGGTACAAGTGGCAACATCATCTATAATTGGCTGTGTGGTCTTGGGCAAGTGGTGTAAATTCTCCAGGTGTCTGGTCTCTTGTGTAATACCTGCTTTGTGGGTTTCTTGGAAGGATTGGAGAGTGTAGGTAAAATGCCAGGAACATACTCCAGACACTCGTTAATAGCAGCTGCTGGGGTTCTAGGAAACAAAAATAAGATGCTTAGTTACGACAGGACTTCGTAGCATTTATTTTAGTGAAAATCAGTCTAATCTAATGGAGGTTAACCAGGTTTATAGATTGAAACAAATACTGTAAAGTTTTACTTTTAATATAGTTTTATTTTAAATCTAGCAGGTATGGAATTAATGATTTTATATTAGATACACTGACAGGACAGAACATTTTCCTCACTGTGAATGTAACGAATGTATAAAACAGCCCTTTATTACTTCCTTAGTTTTTTGAAATGGTTTCTTCTCTTCCAAGAAAAGAGCTGGAGTGCAAGACAGAGGTGAAGACTAAGTCAGATGACCTTAGTTTATTTTAGTACACTATCAGTTTCTTATTGAAAGCTGGAAATTTTAATTTCTAATCCTCCAAACAGATATGTACTTTATATCTTAGTGGGAGGCCAACTAAAAGTTAACACTATAAAAATGTGTATGTAAATAATTCTATGAACATGGTGGCCTAATTGCTATTCTTTTCTTACAACTGGAGTTAGAAGAGTGAATAATTTTGTGCTAAAGAAACATTCATCTTTCAAAATTCAAGATTATAGATATTTTCATACTGTGACATTAAAATGGGGCCACTGAAAGTCTTGGGTCATTGTTTCGTACAGCTGTTTATCCCCTCAAAGTACTACCGCTATATTATACAGAAGATGAAATATATTCTCACTGTTTAATAGAAATTGGACATTTTAATTTTTATTAAATAAAAATCTAGGCCGGGTGCAGTGGCTCACACCTGTAATCCCAGCACTTCGGGAGGCTGAGGCGGGTACATCACCTGAGATCAGGAATTTGAGACCAGCGTGGTCAACATGGGGAAACTCGGTCTCTACTAAAAATACAAAAGTTAGCTGGGTGTGGTGGCATGCACCTGTAATCTCAGCTACTCAAGAGGCTGAGGCAGGAGAATCAATTGAGCCTGGGAGGCGGAGGTTGCAGTGAGCTGAGACTATGCCATTGCATGCCAGCATGGGTGACAAGAGTGAGACTCCCTTCTAAAAAAAAAATCTAGCATTCAACTAATTTCTCGTTTTATCTGTTTGAGTGTCCAGAAATGAGAAGGGAAGTTATAGATGTGTATAGTTGGTAGTGTGAGTCCCAATTTTGCAGATTATGAAGGTGAGGGATGGACAGGTGTCATGACTCTGCTCCTCTAAAAGCTACAGATGCAAGAATTTGAGGGAACCAAAGCTATGTGGCCCTTTTCAGTGGGTTTGCAATATGTGCTTCAAGTCAGTGAACACCTCTTAATAGAATGCATTCAAGAACATCAGCCCAGACAGTAGGCTGACCTGTGATGCAGTACTAATCTAAGACCAGAGTCCTCTTCATGAAAGAGGCGTTCTCACCACTTAATGTGTTTGCCACCTGGCCTGTGCTTATGTTTGGTAGGTTCTGAAGTAGGTCCAAACACTTCCATTTGGGAAACAAACCACTGGGTCTATGAAAAACGGTCTTTGAATATAATCATCTGACAGCATGTCTGACTGTACCTAGTAGCTCTTCCAGGTTGCATCCCTGGGATAATGTGGAGTCTGCTGTACTGCTATAACCCTGACATTTCTAATCTCATTGAATGACACTGCCCGATCCCCAAACTGGAAACCAGGGAGCTTTTCCTGGCTTTTCATTCATTGACACATGTAATTTGACAACAAATTCTGTTAATGCTATTCCTTGAATTTGTCTCCAATCCCCACTTCATCATTACCTCCAGTGCCTTCACTGATCTTTATCTATTGCAAGAAACTCCCGATTCTTCCCTCTGCCACCAGAAAGCATGCAGCCTTCACAAAATGCCATGGTGTATCTTTGTATCTTAGGTGCCTAACAGGGTCCATAATAAGCACTTAATAAACAGTCATTGAATTTAAAAAATGTTCAGCAATAGTATCTTGAAACAGATCTACAGCTGCTTATAAATAGACAAGCAGATGTATAAGTCTGTGGGCAGCTACTCATGACCCCTTTTCATGGTAAGATTTCTTCAAGACAAATACCTTCCAAAGTGAATTATTTGTATGATAAAGGTTTCATAAGTATTTAATGTTTTGTTTTACAAACCCAGATCATAGTTCCTTCCTGGTTTCTCGAGTCACTTAGAAACAAGGATCATTAGTTTTTAAACTGATTTAAAAGCAGGTTCAAATTCGAGGTTAAAAGAAAGGAAGGGAAGTACATGGTCCCACATTTCCTGCTTGGCTTGCAATTTTAAATAAGATGAATTAGTTTTACAATCATATTTAGATCAATGAAGTACCTGCTTCAGTGCCTGGCTGAGAGATGCCTGGAAATAAACAAGTGTGAGCACCAAACGGAAGTCTCTGTAAGAAAACCATCTGGAGCATTTGGCAAAATAAAGACAATTCCCTTGGCAGTTCACAGCACAGCTGACTTCCCTGGTTTTTACAATTTAGACAGAAATTCTGATCGACAGCAAAGGCTACTCTTTTAAGGTATGCTTTTCCCCTTAAAGTTTAATTTTCAGATTGTATTGTTTCTTTGATTTCAGCTTTCCTTTTTTTCTGCATGTTGACAACCAAATTGAAACTAAAAGCTCACTTATTTTAAGGTTTCCTTAAATAGAAACCCTAGGGATTTTCTAGTCCATGGAAATAAATGATCACTTAAATTCCTTTAACCTTCTTGAGCTTGAGTGTTTTGCAGGCTTCGAAAACACTCGAGCCTAAAAGATTTTGTGAAAGGGGTGGTTCCTCATTTTGTTTGTCCTCTTTTATGGTGATGAATTCAAATTATAAAAACTGTAATGAGGTCACAAAATCATTCACACCAAACTCAGGTCAAGAAATGTAGTGCCTGTTCTTAATAGATTATCTGATCTTCAATGAGCCCCACCCTGCTGATGGTTAGGGGAATCTTCCATTCGCCAGTAGAAACTACTATCATTTCATGTTTCTATTTCTCCTTTTAAACATCCAGACTATTCAAAATTCAAATCAGGGCCAGTATAATAGCCTCTTTGGAATGACTTTCTTTTGGTAAATTACTAGTCATTCAAATTTTCACTCACCTCTCTCTTTCCTGCCCAAGATGGTTTCTTGGGGGCATTGAGGAGGTTTCATCTGTGGCAATAGAGACCAGGTGAAAAGATATACAGGGTGTCCTCCGGATGCTCTCAAATTGCAGCTGTGGAGTGGCTGGGCTAGGCTGCTCCTCTGGACTGGTAACTGCCAAGGTTCAAGTGGTCTCATCTGGCTGTCTGAGCTTAAACCTAGTAATGCCTATGGTGGAGCTAATAGCCCAATAGCCTTCAGTCTTGAAGCTGTTACTAACAGTAGCCACATTTAGACTCCAAGCTTCTGTAAAGTCATGGGCAATGTGGGAGGCATCTGTATGACATAGAGAGATTTGGCCCTGCAATTTGAATTTTATCTTTGAGATTTCGCCATGTGACTTTAGGAAAGTTAAGTGACCCTATGAGCTTCAGTCTCTTTGTAAAGTGGAAATAATACTTGGCAGAGGCCTGAAGGTTATAGTATTACAATGTTTATTCCTGACACAGACTGGATAATATATGACTATTGTTAATATTTCTTGAATATTTGTGGTTTGAGTGTTCTTTTAAAGCCCAAAATCAAAAAGAGTAAGGAGGGAAAAAAGAAAGGAAAGAAAGAAAAGACAGAACCAGATCTCTATTTAGTATTTTAGATTGCTCTTTGACTTTTATTTGGAGATTATTTCTGATTAAATAACACTGGATCCTTCTTTATCTAATTTGATTCATATGAGAAAAGACAGACTACAAAGAGGAAACATTGTATAAGTTAATATTATAATTATGTAGGAATCTTGGGTAATCTACTTTTAAAATTAAGAATAATCTATAAAATACCCATCAGGGGATCTGATAAATGGTATCATTTAATGGTTCAGAAATTTAGTTTCCTCTTTATCATCAATATTTCTGGTGGAAAGCAAAAACATCAGTTAAGGAGATTTCCCAAAAGTGTTCGAGAATTTTGTACATATAGGAAAAACTTTGCTGATAAAACATTTTTTTCTACTTAGATTTTGGGCCTCCCACAAGCACTCTGTAATTGCACAAATGCAAATGCTGATTCAAACTAAAGTATGAGAATTATGCTAAAAAATCCAGCCCTAGAAAAACATTTTCATAGTGTCCATTAGTGTGATAAATCTGATAATTTTTAAGTGGTAACTATATGTAGATTTGTAGACTGGGTAATCCATGAAAGAGCTGCTTTCAACTTCAAAGACCTAAGTATCTCGGTAAGTAGTTTCATAGTTGACACCAGGGAGACTTGTTCATTTATAGTCTCCTTTGTATGTTTATGCACTGGCATGCTTGCAAGTTGGGGTTCAGTGAGGTTTCATCTAGAGAGATTTTTCTTCTAGTAGGGCAGGAATTATCTAATTGGAGATACATATATAGCTAATATATATATAACTGGGGATACATCATTCCAATTGAGAAGTACCCCTCCTCCATTACAACCCTTCGTTCAATACCGATTTGAAAAACGCTCTTCTGGTAATTAAACTAATAAAACTGACAATGAGGGAGATTACTTTATTCTATAATAGAATTATTATATGTAGAGATTATTCTACAATAGTTAACTCCCAAGACATGCTGTCTGAAATACTTTGGGATAAATTTAACGAAATACAAGATCTGTACATTGAAAACTACAAAGATTTTTACGAGAAATTTAAGAAGTCAAATAAAAAAATACCATATTCTTGAACTAGAAAACTCATTGTTAAGAAATCAATTTTCCCCAAATTGATCTTTAGATTCAATGCAAGTCCTCCCAGAGGACTTCTTTGTAGAAGTCCTGATTCTAATAGATATGTGGATATGTAAAGAACCTACAATTGTCAAAATAGCCCTTTAAAAACAACTTGGAGGATTTCCATTTTTTGATTGCAAGCTTTACTTCAAAGCTACATAATCAAGACAGTATGGTCTTGGTATAAAGACCGATCAGTGGAATTCAGTAAATAAAGAGGTCAGAAATATACCAACATCTGACAAAAGTGCCAAGGTAATTCAGTAAGGATAGTATTTTTAACAGTGTTGGAATACCTGGATATTCAAATGGGAAAGAAATGAGCCTCGATCCTACTCACACTGTACACTCAAAGTAGCTGATAGACCTAAAGCAAAAGCAGAACATATAAAGCTTCCAGGAGAAAACAGTTTTTAAGATTTTGCAAATAGAACATACTAGAACCATAAAAATTGATGAATCAGACTACCAAAATTAAAAGCTTAATTTTTAATTAAGTTACAACCCTACTCATTATAACTACCGTTCTTCCAAACACATCACTAAGAAAATGAAAAAGAGACTGAAAGTATCTGCTACACACACACACACACACACACACACACACACACGTGTATATATACACGTATATAGAGATGTGTGCGCACGTGTGTATGGACTTACATCCAACATACCAACACATGTAAAGAACTCTCACAACTCAAAAATAAGACCAATGACAAGTTTAAAAAGGGAGTGAAGGATTAGAATGTACCCTTCACGAAAATACATGTGAAGTGGCCAAGAAGGACATAAACATTACTACAAACCAGGTAGAATGGCTATAATTTAAAAACTGACAAAAACAAATGTTGGGAAGGATTTGGAGCAACTGGAACTCTCATATGCTGTTCCTGGGAATGTAAACTACTATAACTACTTTGGAACACAGTTTGTCAGTTTCTTATAAAAGACTACATACTTCCATATGACTCAGATTTAGATCATATGGAAGTATATATGAAAACCTATGTCCAAGAGCAATGAACCCTAGGTCCACAACAAGACAGGTACACTAATGTTCAGGGCAGCTTTATTCATAATTGCTTCAAACTGAAAATGCCCCTAATATACATTTATAGCTGAATAAATAATTTATGGAATATTCATGCAATTTACCAGTAAAAAATAAACTACTTATGTATGTAAGAGCATTGATGAAGCTCAAAAACCTTCTAAGCAAAAGAAGCCAGATACAAAAGAATACCTGTTGTGTGACTGCATTTATGTGAAGTTTACAGAACAAACAAAACTAATCTATAGTGACAGATGTCAAGTCAACAGTTGCCTAAGAAGGGGTGGAGTTTGATTGCAGAGTTAGGAATGTGGTGGGCCCTAGGGAAATGAGGGAAGGCTGAGAGAAGCATTCTATTGCTTAATTATGGTGATGATTATATGGGTATATGTCATCAAAGCTCATTGAACTACACACTTAAAATAGTACATTTTATTCTATGCAAAATATAGTTCAATGAAAAAAAAAAAAAACAAAAAAACACAGACTGTTTTCCTAGTTAAAATTTTTTAAAGTAGTGCTGGAATTGAGCGAGAGCGAAACCACTACTGAGACAAACACTAGGCCAGATTACAGGGTCTTTATTGCCGGCGGCCACAGAGGACTGGAATCTCTTAAACCCATGTCCCCCTGAAGGAGGGTGTTAAGACCTTTCATGCCTGTAAACCACTTCCTGGGCGGGGGTGAGGGTGAGGGGCTCTGGACATTCCGAGGGCCAGTGGACTTTGGACATTGATTGTTACTTAAGTGGTTTACGGAAGTCAAGATAAGTGTTAGTTTACACATTGTCTGGGTAGGGGTGAAATTACAGACCTTAGTTACTTATTACAAGTAGCAGGGGCCAAGATGGCGTGGGTTTGGACTGCTTGCCTGTCACATTAGGGTTACAGAGAGCAGTTTTAATGGAAAGCCGAGGTATGGTTGAGGTATGCAGTTTATGGGGCAATTACCATGTCACATTCCCCCTTGTTTTATTTAAGGGAATTAACAGGTTAGTATTGTTTAAGGGCCTATATTGAGACTATTATTTTATGGAGTTTACTTTAGATTTAATGAACCTGAGCAGTTGATTTAGGAGGCAGGGGCCGAATATGAGTTCTAGTAGGAGTAGGGCCAGAGGTCCCACCAGGCCCGTAAGGAGGGAAGTGAGCCAAGGGACCAGGAAAACATTTTTTGATACTAACTTTCTGAAGCTTTTTGAAGTTATTTTCTGGTTTTGAGATTTTGTTTGACCAGGAAGAGGCTTTCTCAGATGAGGCTGATCTATTAGCATAGAAGCAACATTGTTTATTAAGGGCGGCACATAGCCCCCCTTGTTTTAAGAATTACAAATTTAGTTCTTGCCTGTTTTGGAGGACCATTTTAGCCAAAGACTTAACCTGATCAGCAAGTTGGGAAATGGAGTTTTTCAAGTGGCTTAAATTAGCATTTATGTGCTGAGAGAGAGTTTTTAAATTTTGATCCCCAGTTAAGAGCTGATATTTCAACTGCGGTGGAGCCAGCAATACCTAATTTAACCAGTAGAGGGATGACAACAGACTTGCTTTCATCGGGCAGTGATGATATTTGATGGGGCCAGGAGGTTAAGTTCCTGTTGGCCATTATAAATGTCGACTCTGGGGAGGATGTGTACCGGGGTGCAGAGTATGGGAGCGGAGCTGCTGAATTGGTATGTGGAAATGCAGTTGATGAGGCCAAAAGTGCAGGCTAACCAAGTGGTATCTGGGGCCCAATAGTAAAAGGTTTTTAGCATTAAAGGTTACGTTCTGGGAGACATTACAATAGTGTTTATAGGGAGAACTTGCAAGGGTGTAATTTGGGGAGTAGTAGTAGTAGCAACCTCCCCAGACCCTTCGATGTTTCCCAGGCTTAAATGGAGTGTGGATTGGGAGCATGAAGAAATGAACAGGTTGGCAGGTAATTGGGAGGCTAACCTGGCATAAAACAGTGGTTGAGGGTTTAGACAGAGTTAACAGTCTTTCCCTAAATCTGGGTTGGATTTGAGGTGGTGAGCCGAGGACAACCAGGTTGGCAGGGTTGTGTCCTTTTTAAGCCAAGTTGGGGTTGTAGGGGAAGGTTGAGAGGGCTTTGTATTTTTAGGGGGGCTTCTTGTTGTATGACCTGGGCAATCGGACTTATAGGGCAGTTGGGTCTGGGTGGGGTTATACGCTGGATGGTAAAGATGTTTCCCATGTCTCACCTATGCATATATACCCTGAGACCCCAGGTTTGCCCTGTTGTCCATTTACCATCTGGGGTAGTTACAGTTATCTTCAGTGGGTTACAAGACCCAGTGTAGCATGGGGATGGGGGAGTCTTGGTTAAAAGAGATGAAGGAGTTTATGTTTTTGGTATACCCTGATATAGTGGAGATAGTTTTACAACCCCAATGGTGGCAAAAGAATTTAACTTTTCAGTTTTATTTTTTTTGTGGGGTGGATCCTGGGCACAGATATAATCCGTAAGTTTGAAGTTGTTGCTCTGCCCTTGCACTGCTATCCTTGGCTATATTTTTTGTCCTATGATTTACGTTTGGGGTCAGGAATGGGCCCAGGAGGGAACAGAGGTCTAGGGGAAAGGTAATGGGGGGTTTTCAGAATGTACTCCAGGGTTAGGTTGACTAGGGTGGATCTTTTCCCGGTTAAGGAACTAACGTATCCTCCAGTGGAGCCCTCAGTGAGGACCCATTGATAGTAGGTGGGTTCGCTATACGGATTTACAGCACGGATTAGGATGGTGAGCGTGGTGACTGCGAAGAGTGCACAAGTCTTAGCTTTAGTGAATCGGGGGATGAGTGTTTGACACTTTTGTCTTTCCGGTGGGGCTGTCTTGATGTGGGCATGATGAATTCAGGCTGTTAGTCCATCCACCTTGAGTGTGGGAGGTGTGCTCAGGATAACCCTGTAGGGGCCCTTTTAATGGGGGGTGAGGCTGGAGGTGGCCAATCTTTTAACAAGGACAGAGTCTTCAGGCTGGAAGGGGCGTGTCAGCTGGTCTGCGAGTTTCAATGGGGTGGGATGGGTGTCAATGAGCTGATGTATCTGGGATTGAACAGACTGGAGCACCTGTAAGAACTCAAGGAGCGTATAGTTATGGACTTTAGCATGCACGGTATCTGCGGGTCTGGGGAGTAAGAGAGGGGGGGCCTGCCGAACATGATTTTAAAAGGGGAGAAGCCTTTTTGACAGGGTGTGCATTAGATGCAGAGGAGGACAAAAGGAAACTGGCTGACCCAGTTTTCACCGGTTTCTAAGATAAACTTTGTCAGGGTTTCTTTTAGGGTCTGGTTTATTCGTTTGACTTGTCCTGAAGTTTGGGGATGATAGGCACAGTGTAATTTCCAGGATATACCCAGGGCCTTGGCTAGGCCCTGAGAAATTTGTGCAATAAAGGCGGGCCCACTGTCTGACCCCAGCGTTAGAGGGAGGCCGAACTGAGGAACAAGGTCCTATAATAGTTTTGTGACCACCAAAGCAGTTTTGGACCTAGTGGGGAAGGCCTTGACCCATCCAGAGAACGTATCTATAAACACCAGGAGGTATTATAGCCATTTGCTGGGGTTTTATTTTAGTGAAATTTACTTCCCAGTGCTTTCCAGGGCTAGTTCCGAGTTTTACTCCTACCTGGCTAACCTGTTCCCTCCTGGATTTACTTAGGCATATACATTACACCGAGTAGTAATTTTCTTGGTAAGTTTATGTAAGTGGGGAATGTAGTATTTGGCTTTTAGCACCTCAGTTTGGTCTGTCCAAAGTGAGTGGCCTGGTGTGTGTCTTTATCTAGGGCCTGCCCTAGAGCCTCGGGGACCACAAGCCTTTGGTTTGGCAGTATTTACCATCCTGTGGAGTCCTGCGTGGCACCCTGTTCTTTTGCAACATTCTTTTCACTTGAGTACGTGGGAGTAGGGGGCAGAACTGGGGTGGGCATTGTTACAAGGAGGGTCAGTGGTTTTACCGGTCCCGTGGCTGCCTGCCCGGCCTGCCCGGCCTGTAAGTCAGCAGCCCCGTTTCCCCTTGCCTCTGTGAATCCCCCTTTCAGTGTCCCTTGCAATGGACTAGTGCTACAGTCTTAGGCTTCCATATGACCTCCAGCAGGGCCAGAATTTTTTTTTTTTTTTTTTTAAATAGCTTTTTGAGGTAAGTAGTATAAATAGTGACAGTCTTTTCCTTTGCCCAGTTTAAGGCTTTTATTAGGGCTAAAACTTCAACCTTTTGGGCCGAGTCCCATGAGAAGGGCCTGAGCCCAGATGACCCACTCTAGGGTGACTACGGCTGCCCCCCAATACCTCACTCCGTTGACTACAAAACTGCTGCCATCTGTATACAGTACCTTTTCCGTGTTCCGTAAGGGAACGTCGGTGAGGTCCGGTTGAGCGGTTTGGATGACATTTATTTTTTGTTGACAGTTATGTATGGGTTCTTCTGGCTTACTGTTAGGCAGCGGTGTGGCTGGATTTAGGACTATAGTTTTCAAGAACTGGATGTGGGGCTGGTCCAAAAGTAGAGCCTGGTACTGTACTATGCGGGCATTAGACATCCACTTTCCTGAAGCCCCGCGGAGTAGTGATTTTACTGCATGGGGTGCTACTAGGTTTAATAGCTGCCCCAGAGTTAGTTTGTCTGCTTCCCTTACCAACAGGGCTGTTGCTGCCACAGACCAAAGGCAGGCTGGCCACCCAGAGGCTACAGGATTAAGTTTTTTTGATAGGTAGGCAACTGGCCTGGACCATGGTCCTAATGTCTGGGTGAGCACCTGCTTCACGATTCCTTGTTTTTTTATGTACAAACAACCAGAAGGGTTTAGAAATATCTGGAAAGGCCAGGGCTGGGGCCAAGGTCAGAGCGGCTTTAAGTTTATTAAAAGCCTGTTTTACTATTGTCTAAATTAGGGGTTGATTCCCTCCTGTGCAGGCATACAGAGGCTTGGCTATTTTGATAAAACCTAAAATCCATAGCCTACAGTACTTTACTGCCCCAAGGAACTCCCAAACTTGGCGTTTTGTGGTAGGGCTGGGTATCTGTAGTGCTGCTTGGACTTGGCTGCGCGCCAGTGCCCGGCTGCTTTTTTCTATGATATAGCCCAGGTAAGTAACCTTTTGTTGACAGAGTTGGGCTTCTTTGGCTGAGACTTGATATTCCAGAGTTTCTACGGTTAACAGTAAAAACTGGGTGGCTTCCTTGCAGGCCTCTTGGGTTTTTGAGGTCATAAGTAAGCCATCTACATATTGGAGTGGAGTACACTCAGGGAACTTTGCCTGGAAGGTGGCAAGATTCTGGCTAAGTGCTTTATTAAATAGGGTGGGAGAATTTTCGAATCCCTGAGGCAGCCGGGTCCATGTGAGTTGCTCTGAGACCCCAGGATCCAGGTTAGTCCACTTAAAGGCAAATATGGGTTTGCTGATTGGGGCCAGTGGGATGCAAAAGAATGCATCCTTGAGGTCCAGGATGGTATAGTAATGGTGGTTTGAGTGCAGGAGGCTTAGGAGGGTATATGGATTTAGGACCGTGGGTGGACAGTTTTTACTTTATTTACTTTCCTTAAGTCCTGTACTGGCTGGTAATCCTTTGTGCCAGGTTTTAGAACAGGGAGCAGAGGGGTGTTCCAGGGTGACTTATAGACGGTGAGGATTCCTCCTTCCAGGAGTCTTGTTATGTGGGGAGCGATTCCCCGCCTGGCTTCTTGACTTATTGGGTATTGCCGTACCTGGACCAGAGCTACCATTGCCAACAGATGGACCATAACCGGGGTACAGTGTTCTGCTAGACCTGGGGGATTGGTTTCAGCCCATACTCCAGGTACACTCTCCTGGAATTGGCAGAGGAGGTCTGATGTTGATGCCCCATTTGTTTCCGGTAATAAAGCTTTCTGCAAGAGATACTCGTTTGACAGAGCACAAGCGATGAGGATTTGCTGAGGTGCTTTTGATACGGAGGGCAAAGGAAGGATAGAGAGGCAGGCCTGATTTTCACAGAAAGAGATGGCTGCTAGAAGTTTGTGAAGTATGTCCTGCCCTATTAGCTGGTAAGGGCATTCTGGCAGAACTAAGAAGGAATGGGTAACAGTGCTGTTTTCTAAGTTAACGACTTGATTTGTGGTTCATGAACTTGTTGTGGTCTTTCCTGTGGCCCCCTGGATGACTTTTTCTACTGGATAGTGGTTCCAGAGGCTGAGGAAGAACTGAGTGGGCTGCCCTGCTGTCCACTAAAAAACTAATAGGTTTGTCCCCAATTTTTAAAGTAACCCTAGGCTCCTGGGGGGGTTAACAAATGAGAGCCCTGGTCCTGTTAATCCTGCCCTTCTAAACTGAGGATAGCCCTGGGTGGTTTTTCTTGAGCAGTTACTCATCTGTTTCTCTCTGGGAACTTACTTTTTCAATGTTCTATTTTTTTGCAATATGCACATTGGTTTTTTTCTAACGGGGGCTGGGGACCCCGGTGGCCCTTTCGCAAGGCCCCCTGCCCTCGTGGAATGACTCGTGTTTCTTGACGGGTTATTACTGCCTTAGTAACTTTTTTGTCTTGTATGGCTCCAGGAGTATCCCTATTAAAAACCTTCTGGCAATATCTAACAATTGGGTCAAATTCATTCCCGAGAATTCATCTAGTTTTTGTAACTTTTTCCTGATATCTGGGGCTGACTGGGAGACAAAGGCTAAGTTAATGGCCCATTGATTTTCCAGGGCCTCAGGGTTTACAGGAGTTATAGGTACCGTATGCCTCTTGAAGGCATTCCAGGAAAGCAGCCGGTGACTCCTGCAGACGCTGAGTTACTGTTCCTACCTTGGAGAGGTTGATGGTCTCCTTGCCACCCCCTTAATCCCTGCTAAAAGATACCAGTCAGAAGTGTTCAGAGCCTGGTGACCCCGTGAGGTGTTGGGGTCCCATTGGGGTCAGGTAGAGGGAAAAACCTCTTCAATTTTGTTCCGGTTCTCTTCTGTTCCTCCCCCTGGACCTATGATGGCTTTCAGGGCTTCCTGTCTAATTCTGCCTTTCCTCTGTGGTAAACAGGATCAGTAATAATTGTTGGCAGTTGTCCTAAGTGGGGCGATGAGTCTGGAGTACAGATTCCAAGAGCCCTGATAAAGCCTGGGGCTTCTTAGAGAACGGGGGATGTTGAGCCTTCTAGTTATATAAGTCACTGGACGAGAAGGGGATGTGAACAAAGAATGGGTGACCCCGATTGTCTTCCCCGGTAGAGGGCGTCTCTCGGAGAGGAAGGACCACTGGTGGGTGTGGAGCCCTGCTGCAGGTGTGCAGGGGGGTCAAGGGTTGGTTACTGGTACTGTCTGCGGGAGGATGCTGAGGCCCCAATTTGGGGGGCCTTGAGTATGGTGGAGGTAATTCTTGATTTTCTGCCAGGGAAGGGAGTATGGCTGACGCCAAAGGCACTTTCTTAGGGCTTGCCGGCATAACTTGTAACCCAGCCTGCTTTATGCAGCATTTAAGCCATGAGTGGGGCTGCTGAACTAAACCTAGCCACTGGTCAATGTATGGAAACTGATTTGGGTGCCCAGGGGAACTTGTCACCTCGTTCTATACAGCCTGGGTTACCTTGGGATCATGTCCTGGTGTCTGGCCACCCCACCCCAAAACGAAGGCCACTCCAATTTACACACAGTGCGGAGTTTTTTCGGGGTTAGTTTTACCCCATATTGGCCTGAAAATCTAGCCTTGAAATTGGCCGTTATGCACTGGAAGGGAGTGCAGGGCTTGGAACCACACGATTCCATCTGGTTTCTTTTTTTAACCTTCCAGTTGTTACCCGGATCTGTTTGCTTTTATAGTACTTCCAATTTTGGAAAGCGTTGTACTCGTGCCTTGCCTTTCCAGCACCAGTTTAAGTATGCCTCTGCAGCAAGGTCTTGTAAGGAGGGGGCAACAAGCTTGACAGGCTTATCCCTGGCGTGAGGCAAGGAGAGAGGCCCAAGCGGCCAGGGGTGTAGGTCGATGTCACCCGCGTGGGACCACAGCGGTGAATAGTACGCTTTTTAGGAGATAAAAACCGCTTTGGTAGGGATTTTCCCTTAGATGTGCCCTTAAGTCCAAGGGCTTAGGGAAGGTTGGAAAATGACAAAACAAATGAACAAAAGGGCCAGCAAATTAACCAGGTGTGAATTTTGAATCCACCATGGCTTCAAGAGATCACAGAACTTTTGCCAATCAGTTTGTATTGTACCGTGGCAACCCACTTCCCAACAGTCAGGATGGTACCAGAACAAGTTCCGTAGCAACACCGAATCTCCTTTTGGCAAAAGGGGCAATTACTTTTTTTCCATCCTAGGCAGGCAAAAAGGCTCGATAATTCCTTTCCTAGCGCCTGGCTCCCAAGGATGGAGAAAAACTACATCTGAGCAGCCGAGGGCAGAATTTCCTTTTAGACCTTGGAAGAGGGGCTGTGCATGAAGGGAGGGGTTGGGCAGCTGCTGAGTTTCATAGTTCCCAGGAGGCGGTTGTGCTGGGGAACTGCTGAGATGGAAAACAACTGAAAACTGAATTACCTGAGCCTCCAGTGACGTCTTACGGCAGGCTTGCCTAGTCACAGATTAACGACTACATTCCATCTCTTGACCTCGGCTCCTAACAGACCAGCCCCCTGATTTTCAGAGCTGACTTACCTCCAGAGGTTCCTGGGACCCTGAGGAATTGAGTGAATGTCGGCCGGGTAGTCGACCCTCCTCCACGGGGATGGAATTCTGGGGCCCTGGAACATCTCAGGGGGCGCCTCCCCTAGAGGTCCCTGAGGTGGGAGCAGCGGCTCGGGCAAGACTTCAGGGATTTTCTTTGATGGAAAATCTTCCTGGGACCTCCAAATGTTGGAATCAAGCAAGCGGGAAATCACCACTGAGACAAAGACTAGGCCAAATTGCAGGGTCTTTATTGCCGGCGGCCATGGAGGACTCGTGTCTCTCTAACCTGTGGTCCGGAAAGGAGGGTGTCAAGACCTTTTATGCCCGTAAACCACCTCCTGGGTGGGGATGAGGGTGAGGGGCTCTGGACATTCGGAGGGCCAGTGGACTTTGGACATCGATTATTACTTAGGTGGTTCACAGAAGTTAAGCGTTAGTTTACACATTGTCTGGGTAGGGTGGAAATTATAGACCTTAGCTACTTATTACAAGTCACAGGGGCCAAGATGACGTGGGTTTGGACTGCTTGCCCGTCACATTAGTGTTACAGAGAGCAGTTTTAATGGAAAGCTGAGGTATGGTTTGAGGTATGCAGTTTATAGGGCAATTACCATGTCATAGTAGCACCTAGAAGGTCCATCTAACTTGGCATAAGTGAAAAACCTAGAGAATAACTTCTCTATGACAATATCTTCTTAATAACAGGAATCTGCTCCTACATCCTTCCCAGAGTTTCATTTTCACAGCCTTTCATAGCTTACAAAATAGTCAAAAATCCTCATAAACATTAAGCAGGAAATGCATTTCTACTTATTTTTCTGTCATATTAATAAAGTATTTTATCTGTCATCTTAAGTGTTATATTTTCTGCATGATCATTTGATTGTGGCATCTCTAAAATAAGCAATTGGATCATGTTCAACACAGGGAAACTAGTCCCCTGAATTTTTCCCTTACTGATAACAGAAAGATGTGGAAGAGTTTATCATTGTTTTCTAATGATTCAACGTAGTTTTCCTACCCCTAAATTCATCATGTGAGTATCACCATGTGAATAATCCTTCTAAAGCTATTCCTTAATCAAATCATCCCCCCTTCTCAGAAACCTTTAGTCACTTGGCTTACTAACAAACCTAAGATTCATTAGTTTTCCAGGGCTGGTTCCATTCTATTTTTTCTAATTTCCCACTGTTCCCCTGTGAATGATACAAGTTGTAGCTGTATTTGGCCACTACACTTCATTCCTCTCCTACCTCCACCTTTTCCTTCCTCTTTGCATTCCAGGTCTCACCCACATTCAGTTTGCATGCCTCTCCTCCACCATCACTCACAACAGGTGTGATTCCAGCCACCCACTGACGCATTTTCTTTCCCTTCCAGTTACTGCTGCATTCGATTATAAACTCTTAAAGGGCTGGGCTTAGTTTGTCATCTTTATTTCTCCCACAGAGAGGCCTCAACACAATTTGAGTGAATTCACAGGATGAATCATGCAAGTCCATGTGGTTGAGAAGCAGAAGAGTGAGGACCAGAATCTGACTCCTCAATTCTATTACTTTTTACACCACAGCTGTTGCAAAAATATCCCATAGGGCTTTGAATCACCTCTAGAAGGATGGCGAGAACACAGTGCTCCAGACATTTAAAACTGAATCAAAGGAGGAAAGAAGCAGTAAAACTTGCTGCAGGGAATCATCTTAGCAGAAAGATCAGCTTAGATGCCTTTTTACTTCTAATCTCATATGGTGGTAGAGCAAACGGACTGTGAAGTTCCCTATGGAAATTGTTAACTATTGATTAGATCTTTTTACATACACTTTTTCTTTTTAGAAGGATCCTGATTGGAGACTTACAATGTATTTTGTGCATGGTCAATTGTTTGTAAGCGGGTTTAAACTTTGTGTTTGAAGAATATATTTACAGAATAGAATTTTGTGCAGCACTTTTTTGAAGGCATTAGCTTCCAAATGCATTTAGCATGGCACATTCACCAGGCCACCCTTTAACCCACGGTGTTTGAGAAGAGCTGGGTACCATTTTGACCAGCTTGCTTGTGACACCGCATGTTCCAATAAAACACAATCTGTCTTTGGGTTGGCTTGGCCATTTCTATAGCTCTTATACTTGTCTCCTCCTTGTGCCAAATTATACCTCAATGTTCTGACAGGCAATATTAGGAAGTATATTGTCTTGGTTACAGCAAAAGTACATTTCTGGTGTGGACACAAAATGTAGCCACTTGCCTATGACATGGCACGCAGGTGGATATATGTACTTTTATTAATGTCAGCTGAAGCAGATGGACAAAACACACCATATGGTGGAGGCTACTGACTGCCCTCCTTTTGTTTCATTGTAAAGATGTAGCTGGACACATGGTTCAGTGAGACTCATTTCCCAGCCTTCTTACAATTACTTGAAGACTTGTAACTATGCTGCTGGGGTAGAGTGTGAGGGGATGTGGTATGTGCTGCTTCTGGGCTTGGGCCTTATGATACTGGCCGGGTGCTCTTTTCACAAGCTGGAATTTAAATCTGCTTCCAACTCTGTTCAGCATATTTTAGAGCATGAAAGGGCAAACATTTTCTTCATATAAAAGGGCCAAATAGTAAGTATTTTCAGCTTTGTGACAATTCACTCTACCCTGTGATGTGAAAGCAGCCAAAAGATGAAATGTAAACAAATGGTCACGGCTGTATTCCAATAAAATGTTACGTGCAAACCCAAGTGGCAGGCTGGATTTGGTCCATGGCCTGTAGTGTTCTAATCCCTGGCTTGTGAAGAAACTGGAAAGAAACTGTGTAACCTACATGGCTGCAAGGAACAGAGCTGCCCCAGACCAGATCGCTCTCTCCAGATAGTTTGAGAGAGGGAAACTTTCTTTTAAGCCACGGTACTTTGGGGCCTCTTTGTGCAGCAGTTTGGCTTTTCCCCTACTCAGTACACATGGGCGGGCACTGTTGACCATTTTTAGATTCAGCTTCACATTTGAGAGCAGGAAGCTTTAGTCCAGAGCTCTGGCCATGTGAGTGACTCTTCACTGGGTCTTATATTTCCCCAGAAGGCCCGAAGTTATTCCATCCATTTTAGTTAAGGAAGGTAGATTAGTTTTGTCAGTAGTCATCTGTCTATTTGGATTATTGTCTTACCCTTTCTTGAAACCGATGGAGGTATCCCCAGGGTCTATTTGAAGACCCCCGAGCTGCCTGGGGAAGCATAGCGCACAGATATAATACATGAAGGACGTAAAATTTTTCTTTGGGGATTTTTTGTTCCTCCATCCAAATTCCTTTTATGCCTCCTCAGATCTCTCTCCTATGGCTTAGTCTTAAGTATTGGTTTTCCTCAGCTATAAAGTTATAGCTCATAAAACTTAATATGTCATCTTTGTTTTGCTTTTTCTAGTAAGTTGTATGACCTTTACAGAAAATTTGGAAAATACAGAAAAACTGAAAAGTTACACATGATACAACTCACAACCACAATCATAGGAAACAATTTTAGTGCAATTTCTATACAGTTTTGGCTTGTACTGGGACATAGGCTTAGAAAAAAAAAACTCTTCAAAATTCAAAGGGATAAGATTCCATAATTAAAGCTAATGGAATTGGTTAATGATTAGCTATTTCTGCCTGAATGTTAGGGAGGGTTTGATGTAAGAGGTAATATTCCAGTTTAAATCAGAGTAAAGTACTTTGAAGCAGAGAATAAGGAAAAATCATCCCATAGTAAAAGAAAAACATGGAGGCATTAAAGTGTACATTTATATGAAGTATTTAATAGTTGACTATGGTCTTGAGTATTAAAACTTGGTGCTCCAATTTTCTTGTTTAGGCATTGGGAATGGTCTAGTCTTTTATGATTCTAGAAAATGGACTATGTGAAGATAAGCCATGTTCAAATACTTTGAACTTTTGAGAGTAAAGGAACCTAAAGATCTACGGTATAATTGAATATCAGATTTTGTTTTCATTCTTATGATTTTATTCACTAACAAGATAAAATGCTTCTAGTCCTTTCTGTGAAAAGTTTACAAGAAAAAAGGTATCACATGTTTAATATTTGGTTTTATCATCTGGACTTTTAGTCATAAGCTATTCAAAAATCATTCTTATTTGGGATTAAATGAGAATGATATTTAATTTTTGGATGTTTCTGACTGCTATTCATTCCTCTCAATATTTATACAATTTTCAATTTCAATCATTACTTTGTCTCAAAAGCTATATAATATTCAAGGATTAGTCTTGTGTCATTAAAACTAATCACTACTGTGTATTCAAAAAATAAACATTTCAGTTGTTGACACAAATAGTTCAGAGTAACTAAATATGACAGCAGTAATGTTTGGTATTTCTGCTTTTCAGGTAAAAAAAAAATCTAAGCAGTGCCACAAGGAAAAAAAAAATACTCAAAAGTAATCTAAGTACCAAAATGAGTACTTGGAAATGTCAGACCCATGTCCATTATAATCTTAAATTCCCTCATGTTTTATATGAGAACTATAACCTCTTGCTAGGAACCATGTCAATAAAATTGTACAGGATTATATTCAAAGTTAAGATTGTATTCTAATGTTTACATGGATGAAATAAAAAACTATGTAAGTAGACCTAAACAGGAGCAATTTTGTTGTCATTTTGCATGTTAAATTTTATAGTTTCACTAAACCAAAAATGGTTTAAAAGGAACTGCAATTCAGGTATGGCAGGTGTAGCAAATCAACTCAAGTCTACAAGAAACATCCCAGTTCTTATTGCCTGTAAATCAAATTAAACAAGCTCTTACCCCCACTCACCAGGCTGCCAAGAAACCAAATTTCAGTTACTTTTAAGATCCCCAATTCTCCCAGAATTGTATCAATATCCAGAAAGTTGAATAGTATGGGTTCAAGACCAAGGTCTCTATTTGCTTTATCATTGTGGTCCCAGCTGACATATCACAGTTTAACTTCAACTTCGGTGGTTGCTTAGTTTCGTGGTTCTCTGCTCCGTAAGGGAGGTAGTGGGTTTTTGCCAAGGCTGAAATTGCCAACACTTGGGTTATCTTCTCCCTAGGTGCACCAGAGGCTTCCCTCCGATGTCTTACTGTATTTTTGTAGAGACACAGTGGTGCATTTTGTGCCCTGCACAAAGGTCTAGATTGAGGGTATGAGGAGGCCTAGAGGCAGCCAGCACCCTGACCAGGCCCTGTGCCTTGGCATGGGCCGATTCATTTTCCTCTGGACGAAAGTACCATCTGCTGCTCATCAAGCTGTATGCCTGCTGGGCTACATCTGCCTAGAGGGGACACATTTACAGTTGGTGCAAAGTCTTACGTGGCTAGCACCGCCTTCCAGCACGCCAGGAGCACAGTCCTCAGATCTCGTGTTTCCTCCCACCGCATGAGACAGAAATCCCTTCTCTCAGCATTTCTGCTTCTCAAAGGCACTGTTCTCCCATCCTCTTCCAGGACTCCCTCAAAATCCCATTTGAGGATTTACTATTTTCACCCAGAGTGAAAAAGTTCTTTGGGTCCAGGTTATTTTGTTCTCTGCCTGGCCAGGATACCCACGGAAAGGGTTTACCAGAGGAGACAGGTGAAGCTGAGTGCAGCGCACACTGCAGTTTCTAAAACCCCTGCTGCACAAGCACTAATGGGATGAAGAATCCAGGGGATTTCTGCGGTGTTGAGAATGTTTTGTTTTCTTATCTGGATAATGGTTACATGGCTGTGTTCAGTTTGTGCAAATACAGCATAACAGTTTAGTTACTATGTGTGCACTTCTTGGTATGTATATGTTTCAATAAAAAGTAAAACCTAAAAAAAGTTAAAATTTTTGCTACACTTTACATACTAGTTATTAGAAGGTCATAATTCTCTAAAAGTAGAGACTACAATTGATTAATCATTGCATACTCATCAAATCCCGATACAAAAAACAGTATTAAAGAACTTGAGAAATGAAGTTATTTTTCCTTAAAGATATTCACATCTCAGATTAACGCGTTTCTCCCACAGTAGTGCCAATGTTAAAAACAGACTCAATGAGATCTTGTTATAAGTGACAAGTACATCCTGGCATACAGTGGCACCTAAGTGGCACTATCTTTAATTCTAAAAGCCCTAACTATGTGGTCTAAGCAGGGAGGCACACATTTATCAAGGCAGTCTGTCTGGCAGAGTGATTGCTGTTTCCCCACCTGTACCAGAGAGCTGGACTAGATATTATTCTTCTGTGTCTTAGGGCCCCAGGGGTGGTCTGCTGAAATGACTTTGCTTTTAAAGAAAGCAGATGAGCAGCTAATGTTTGCCAACAACTATTGAGTGTTTGCCTTGTGCCAGGCACTGTACTCAGCAGAGCTGACTTGAGGGAGAGAAGCCGATTCAAATTACTAGAAACTAATGGTCTGGAAAGAGGCCTTGGACATGTCGATATTGCATATCAATGCAAATCCTGAAGATTTAAGGTGGATGATCCTGTTGAGGGGGTTTTTGAATTACTTTTGTTTTCCAATCTTTGATGTAGAATTATTGTGTTTTAAAGAGAATACAAATTCACAAAAGGTTAAGTGAATTGCTCAGTGTCACACAGCTAATAAGAGACCTAGCCAGGATGTGAACCCAGCTAGACTGACTCCAGAGGCTAAGACATTAGTAAACTATGCTGAGTAATGGTTTTGTATGTCATCGGAGTCCAAACAGCACAGAGTAAGATGAGGATGGACGAGCCACAGTGCAAATGCAGAAGAGTCTGAATGTAGGAGATTAAGCCAGATAGCAAATGACACCTAGATAAGGGAGTCTTGGCAATCTCTGGTAAATGTTTTTCACCGGAAAGTTTTAAATAAACTTGAATTATATTTGAAAGTCTAAATCAGTATCTTACAAACCAAAAAGGATTCCATCCTAATCAACTTGATACACAGTAAATGATCATTTTAAGTTATTCTATTTTACTCGGAGAGTTTTAAATCAGTATTCTGAGATAATTCACTTCAGTTGCCATAGAATTCCCTTTTGTTTTTTAGTAATATGAAAAGTATTCTTTCCTCCATCAACCAACATTTAAAATACATTTCTTTTGTATTAGTGGAATTTTATGTGCCTGCTAAGTACCATGTGGAAATAATCAAGTCCCATTATGAGCCCAAAGCCAATTCAGAACCAATTTCAAAGCAGTTTACCCACTTAGTATAAGCAGCTGTGCATTTTTAAATTTACAGTTTAATATTTTAAATCCCTTTGTTTTAATTTTGAGTTTACTTCTTTGATATAATTACTTTGGCAAGATCTAGATCATGCTGGGGTTTGTATCACAGGGACTCACTGCTCACTACACCAGGTGGCCAGCTATGTATGTCTGGAAGATTTAGCATCTCCTGGAATTTAACTAGCTTGCTTCCTTTGCTTCTAGCACTTCCACAAATTCTTGCAGATCGCCTGGGCTTGGGTTAGGGCATTATTTCAGTTACTTGGAGAGTGAACACAGGTTCTCTACTAGCGTTATTCTTTTTCAGGGCGTCGGCCAGAAGTATCTGGTTCCTTAGCCCTGAGTGTTGAGACTGGGCCTTATGGCCATCTCCAACTTTCTTCCCCAGTTCCTGACTCCTAGATCAGGTCAAGGGAATGCAAATCCCTGGCAAAGACGACACCAATGAAGGCAAATCAGAAAGCCTCTCTAAGGCATTCAGGGCCTGAGTGAACCCAGGAAAGGTCTATAATCATCTGAGAAGTTGACTATTTTCAAGAACAGATGGTAAGGATTTAAATGCAGAGCTTCAGAGCAGATCAACTCTGACTCCCTCTTGAGAAGGGCTCAATCGTTTTATCTTTTTGGAGCAACTAACTTGCCCACCTGACAGCAGGGAAATGCTTGCTGCCCTTATTCTTAATTCTGTATTTAGAATTAAGACGCATGACTTAAAAACATTTCCTGGTCAAAGACAAAGTAGCTTGTTACTTTTTTATATAGGTGGCTAAGTCTGCCTGTGAAAGCAGGATTTAAAAAACAGACCTGAACACTGATGAGAGTCATGTCAAGACCTGAAAGAGCATTCTAGGCCCGAGAAAAGGGAGGCATGAAAATCCTGGAGGAGGAATGGACTCCATCTGTTTGGAGAACAAAGGGAAGGCAAGCATTTGTGCTAAAGGTCAGTACTATGAGCTGAGGATGAGGAGTTGAGGGGCAGAGAAGAGAAGCAAGCAAGAACAAGGTCACGATAGCTTGTGGAAAGTGGTAATTCGCTCCACTTAGTCTCAGTGCAGTGGAAAGCCTTTGGAGGGTTACTTCGGAGGCTTTAGGCAGGGAGTAACGTGCTGTAATTCATGCTCAAAGAGATCACTTGGTTGCAGTGTGGAAAATGGATTATGTAAGGAGAAGAGGGGAACAATTAGAAGTTATTTCTTTATCTCAGGCAGGAGATGAAGGTAGCTTCGATGTTAGCATTGGAGGCGCAAGGGGAGAATGGATGCAGGATGCATTTTGGAGGAAAAATTGATAGAAATTTGTGATGGATTAGATGTGGGCGATAAGACAAAGCTATGGAAAGAACAAAATCAAGGATGAGCAAGTAACGG